GAAAGAGGAAAGGGAAAAAGGAAAATACGAGGAGACGAGGGTGAAAGGAGGTTGGAAACCGAGGGGGTGGGACGGTGAAGAAGGAAACACAGAGGGCGAGAAGGGGCGGAGGAAAAGTCGAAGGGTGCGGGAAAAGAAACTCGGCCGATTCGGTGGGAAATGAAAAGAACTGGCAACCCCTAATTAACTTATTCGATCGGGTCGCGTTAATTAATGCATGCCGGGCGTATAAGCGATGCAATTCAATTACGCGAAATCAACTGCTGGCCGAATTGTGCGCGCGATTATGCCAGGGACAGACGACGAGATCCTTTGGTCGTGAAGAAAGCGTCGTGTTAAGGTACGATCTTGAATGTATGGACAGTTGCTTTTTCGAAATGTAAATTGGTACGCTATGTGTCATAAGTATAAAGCCACTGTAAAATTTAAAATTTTTATATGTTGCTGTTAAAATAAGGAATTAGTGAAGTATATCTTATTTGAAATTGTGATGGGAAACAATATTCTGCCAGGAAAGAAGAAATCGTATTCACTAGGAGAAGGAAGAATTACAGAAAACTGATTTATTTTTGTTTCGTAACTATAATATTATTACTGTATAATTTTGTAGCTATAATATTGTGCTGAGAATACAATAGGATAGGATAAATTATAATAATATTTGTCTTTTATAAAATTGAAAATTTTAGGATGGTTTTAGAGTTACGTAGTATTATTTGTTAAATTTTTAAATATAATATTACTATTGTATAATTTTTTAACTATAATATTGTGCTGAGAATACAATAGAATTAAGTTATAACAATATTTGTCTTTTATAAAATTGAAAATTTTAGGGTGGTTTTATAGTTATGACACGTAGAGTATCATTTATTAAATTTTTATTTATTATTTTTCTTATTATTATTTGACAGGTATGAAAAATAATTTGCTATTCGTGACATTGATTAACGCTATGAGATTTACTTAAAATTCCTTTGCGGATTGATTATAAATTTTCTTTGATTGCAATGAGACAAAATTTTATTATTCAATGTTTTTTTTTTTAATTGGAAAAATTTATTTCTTCTTTTATCTACTACAATACTGTAATAATAAAAGTATACTGTTCCATTTGAAAAATGAAATCGTAGTTCTATAGTTCATATGAGGTAATATGATTGGGTAAATATTAGGGAGTTATTTTAATTAAATGTATTGGTCGAAGAAGCTACGCGTGATTGGAGCTTTATTCGAGAAAATTTCGCAAGCCCCAATCTAATATTCCGTGTTTATCGAGGACAGCTTGAGGTCGACCGGTTGCTTAGGAGTATTGGATCGTTGAGTATACTGTGACTTATGTAAAGGAACGTGCGTTTATTATTTCGTCTAAACAGGGATCGAAATGTGAATTGCATTAACGAGTTGCCTTGAGAGTTTTTCGATGTCTGTGTAATTAGGATTTGCGAGTTGTTTTATATGATGAAATTGGAACTAAGGTCAGGGCTAGAGCTCGTTATGAATTGGAATTTGATGTATTTATAATGCGATTTAATTTGTACAGCGAGGGAAATTTAATAGAGGGACTTCTTTACGTGCTTTAATAACTTCATAATTACCCTCTGTGAATTTTTAATAATTAAGCTAAACAGTGGTCAATAAAAAAATTCCCTCTATAAATAGATATAAACTGATCAATTTTCTTTTACATATTTTTATAAATTAAAGCAGTATATATTATAAAATTCATTTAAAATTTCGCCCAGGAATTATTCAGCTATTAAATTATGCAACTCTATTATCCCTGCCATTATTTTAATTTAGTATCCTTTTTCTTATTATTTACTTATTAAATTTATCATCAGAGGAGAATGAGAAATTATAAAATCCAAAATTACTGTGAAAAAATTAAAATTATTATTAAATTTAAAAGAAGATTATAGAATTATTTTAAAAAATTGCAAATGTCAATAATTAAATTTATAGTATCTTGCTATCCTAAAATCAATTTCTTTCTAAAATCCATTGAAATAGCTATGAAGTATTTAACACTCATCTACCTCCTCACCAAAGAAACGCGATAAATCATAAAATCCACGATTGGGATGAAAAATACAAACGTCAATAGTCAAACAAAAGCTCTGGAACAATGGAAGGTAATCGCTGTACGTTACACGTTTCCCACCGGAAGTCTCCAATGCGGAGGAATTATTTACCGGCCCTAATGACTCGAAGCGGGACGATAAAGGTAGGAACGTGTCGGTCGCGGTATTAATGCGGTTGATTTACAACGAGAAAGAGCGAGGCCGTTAAGTCGAGGTTATTAAGTGGCGCAATATCCAACGCGAATTATTAATGATATTGACGATCTCCCGTAGCAGAGGATGGAAGAATAACGACACCACCCTGAGCGAGCTAATTGTATCCCCGCGACGTGGCGAGAAGCCGTGATTCATGACGGATTCGTAGATTTCTTTAGCCAGAGATTACTCGCAGAAAATGCCTGTAACGCGAGACTTTAATTATCAACCGCCTTGAATTCCCGCCGATATATACCCGCCATTTCCGTTTCGCGCAAATTTCGCATTCCCTTTGGTAATCCGTGAAATATAGCATTTGATCGTCGTACTTTCTGCTAATCGAATGAGGCAGAACAATTAGTCCAGCTGACTGAAATAGCATTCCGGGGAAGCGAGTCATTGAGTTTGCCACAGGGATTGGAACTTATGATGCACTATACTTCGGCTCGTGTCATTTCGTCGGTTCTGATCAGGTTAGGAAATAGTTCCTCGAATTTCCGAGGCCTCGAGAGAACCCTCGAGCACGAATTTCGAACGTTGATCACGAGACTCTGCTTGGTAAACGATATCGATGTTGGTTACTGCTAGTTCACTGATTTCATTGTGGCTTGGAGCAAGGTTTCCTTCGATGGGGAAGATAATTGGTCCATTTGGAATGTTGGAATAATTCTGAGTAATATTAGGGATGGTACTGAGTCTTTTTAAAGAAGGTGATGATTGCGAGGTCTAAAGAGAACCAACCCTCGAGCAAGAATTCTAAACGTGGATCACTAGACTTTGGTGGATGATGTGGATGCTGGTTATTGCTAGACGACCTGGTTGACTTATTGTTCAGAGCAAGACTTCTTTACTGAGAAAATGATACCCATTGTAGATCTTGGAATGATCCTTCGTGGTGTTAGGATCCCGATAACAGGATATTAAAATAAAATTAGATATTGTAAAGTGTTTGGATTTTTCCTTGTCTATACAGCAGATCTAGGCACCGAGGAATTTCACGTAGAAGATGATAAGTAAGCAATGAACTGATGGATAAGAAAGTTAAGAATTTTAGAAAAATGGGTATTCATGGTTGTGGAAGGTTAGGTTCAACTTCATGAAGGGATACTTTTATAGGAAGTCTGCAGTTGGCTGACGTTCTCCATTAATCTATTCCTCTTCTAGGCCTGTATCGGAATATTTTATTTCGCCAAAAAATTCACGTAATCGCTTATGGCGAAATTGAATTAATTTGTTATTATTTTAAGTAAAACAGAATTCAGAGTATCTTGAAATATTGTTGCAATATCACGAGAAAAATAGTGTAGCTTTTACCATTGAATTGCCTCGCGCACATATGTCGAATCGGAAGCGACCAATGGAAAAAAATTGCGCGAAAGTTGAAGGGTTGGACGCAATTCTGTAAAAGGATACTCCTATAAGCTTTCGGCGTTCGATGCGAACTTTTGTTTCTCCCATTTTTCACGATACGATCGGCGAACGCTTAGACCGTGTCACCGTTACGTAGCAATACTATCGCATAAGAGGATTAGTCCCTGGCGAGCTGTTCATGTAGCGTATTTGCTCGAAAACAAATGGCAGCGGAGTATCGTCGATCGAATAACGAAAACTCGAACAGCGAGGATCGCGAGTTCTCGACAAACTCTGGCCCATCTAGCGCTTCCCAGGGATTCCCTTTCCCGAAATAATCTAGATTATTTCGTCACAAGGTTTTCCCGTTCATCCCACCTGAGTGGTTTCGAAGGATCGATGATCGGAACCTTGTCGGACTTAATTTCAGTCGATGTTAATACCGAACATTGTAAAAGTTAACTTCGGTTAATTTACTTTGCTTGCTATGCTCAAGAGTTTCGACTCCTGATGACGTAGGGCAAGCAAAAACGGTTGTCTTAAAGCAAAGACTTCTGAGAGGCTAGCTGTTCGCTGCTTTTGATCCCAATCTTAATATTCTTAGGATCTATACTTGTGAATAATAGTAATTCAGAAAACTGTACTTTTGATATAAATTACGCCGTTTTGACTTCTTTTCATGTCGGTTTGACTCAGTGCTTTATCCCCCTATTCCATTCGATCTGGTCCTATTTTCACTATGCAATACAACCCTATTTTAATAGATACGACACTTGCTGCCAATAACGAAACTTCGCATGACCTATCTTTATAATTGACTTAGAAAATGTAGAAAAATCAATTACACTTAGACCAGTTTGACCCACACTCGTTCCATTTGCGAACTACCGAGTTCTACTCAGTCAGTGATCTATAAATCCTTAAAACACGATTCTCTGTGAGATATTTCAAATATTCTACGAGACGTAAGCTAGACTCCATGTGTGCCTTACATATTACACTCTCTACAGCATACATTAATAGACGTAGAAGGGAACATTAACTGTTCTAGGTAGTTACTCGAAATACATTAGAACTCCATTTACAAGGATCACTTTACCAGAACCCCTATCGACTGAACCCACTTATCAGAACACGAACTGCTATTACGCAAACGATGCAGTCACATGAACTATCCCCCAACAGGTTCAGAGAAATGGAGTTCCACTGTATATATAAATGAGCTCTTAATACTGGTCGTGATTGACCTAGCCACTGTACTGACCCGGGTTCCGAGCCCCTACCATAAAGCTACATTAAACCGGATCAGTTGCACCATTGTACTCCACGCAGCACCACTTCGATCGAACTAACCCACGAACCTCCTTTCAGAACCCAGTGGCAACAGCCTTCGAGATCTTCTGGATGATCTTCGAGCCGATCCTATTCGCCGTGACAGGTGCCCAGATCAAGATCGACGAACTCGAAGGCAAGACGGTCTACCTAGGCATCTCCTGTCTCTTAGCTGGCATCGTGATCCGCATGATGGCAACTGTGCTGGTCGGTATCGGGTCTAAGCTAAACCTCAAAGAGAAGGTGTTCATAGCCCTGTCCTGGATGGCGAAGGCAACCGTGCAGGCAGCTCTGGCCTCCACCACTCTCGACAAAGTGAACCCGAACGATCCGGAACAGGTGTACTATGCCGAGACAGTGGTGACCATGTGCGTGCTGTCAATCCTGCTCACAGCGCCAGCAGGCGCCATCGCTATCACGCTGTCTGGGCCGAAGCTTCTGACGAAGACCACCGCTCCAGTGGTGCCGCCTGAGGGCTGGAAGGCGCGCAGACCCTCGATCCGAGACATTTCCATCATCAACGAGGACCCAGACCTCGAGGAGACCGCAAACGAGAGGAAGCCCTGAGGCTTTCCAGGTCGGACGTGACCCTTTCTCCCTGTTCCACCTCTGCAGACCTTAAACCGCCACGCGACACTGGCAATTCCACGCGAATTTACTTATCGTTTGTATCTTATTCCGTCGGTTCGAGTATACCTCGAGTTCTAGACACGGATAAGGGAAGAAGGAAGAAGGTGGATCGGTGCCTCTTCAGAGAGATCGTTGGGAACGTCTACGTGTACGTGTCCGTGAGTGTATGTACGTGTGTGTGGATCGAAATTTAATTGGCGCGAGTTTGAGAGGTTTAAGGAGACGTCTTCGCGAGGCTTCTGTAGCTGATGTTCCTAATTGCGCTGATCTGGGAGTTACGTTTGCGAGGTATGTCTACCTTGAACCTTGTCTTCAGTAGCTTTCCAAGTACGTTCTGCTCTGCGTGGCTTGTTTGCGATTCTCAATGACTATCGGGCAAAATGTTTTCGTTTCCCTCCTGTTTCAGAGACACTCGGAGCTCTGCTATCTATTTTAGTGGCTTCTCCGCGGCTTACTATCCGATCTTTCCGTGATTATTTTCCGATAAGCAAAGATATAAGCTTACGTTTATATTATATTTGGTTTCACGAGCGAGATGATGATGTAAGAGAAACTTTAATCCCTCTTTCATTGCGATATATTTTACTTAAAATTGACAGCACGCACTTACAGAACGTACTTGGTGAGAATAAGAAGAGTGCAAGTCCTTCTTCGAGTAGCAACTACTCGATAGTTTTTGAGATATTTATGATCAAAGCTTTATTACTCTTAACTAGAGATTTCTTCCGAATTATTATCGATAGTTGTCAAGTGGCATTGTGACCTGACGGCAGCATCCGAAAATTGCCACCAGCGTGGGGATTTTCTGATATCGCCATTAGGCCACAATTGCACTTAACACTATGCTATCCATACGTCTAATTCTTTTGTTTGACGTCGGTAGGACTGACTCATCATTTGCTCGTGATACCAACCTGGTGTCAATGGCATATTTGCCCGATGGTTTTCGCATGACACCAACATGGTGCCACCAGATGGCATAGTGTTAATAAATATTCGAAATAAATCTGTAATTAAGGCAATAATAAAACTTTAATCATAAACAAATACAAGTTTCCATTGTAATGATATATTTTCTTGAACTGGATGACTACATCTACGAACCTACAAAGTGTCAACTAAATCTATGACTTGCATTCTCCTTGTAAGTCCAACGAAATTAAAAGACACGCCAATAATAATAATTGCAGCCATGAATTCTAACGTAAGAGTCCATCTTTTTGACTTTCTTTCTCGTACACATTATTCGATTATGTTCGCCAATTTCATTTTGACAAATTATAACCAGTTTTATTTTAAACGCAGTTTTGGAATCCATGGCTTTAACGACAAAGTTCCGTCGTAAAGTTTCATAAGTTGCTTGCCGAGGTAAACTTCTCGGAGTTTACCTATTCGTTTCTATAATCGGTAGCTAACTTTTCAATCGATGGACCATTGACGCGAGATCGTAAATCCGATCGCGGTGATCTCGTGGATCGACCGAGTCGAAACGTGTTCCAGCGTCGATGTGTCTTCTACCCCGAAACTCTAGCCAACATCTTAATAACGTTCCAGAGAGGTGACTTATGCGTGGAAACCTCGGCCAGTAATTGAACAATTTATCAGTGCGCTTCGTTTTCGGCATGAGAAATCGCGCCTTAGGCGAGCGTTTATTTATCCTTACAACTTGGCTGGCGTGCACGGAATGAGCAAACAGGGTGAAAGTGTTGCGTCGTTTTCGAAATTCCAAGTTTAGATCTGCTTAAGTTAAAAGTTCCGAGTTGCGTTGTCTTTTTAGCGTTTAACCGATGAGGAAGTTGCTTTGGAGATGGGAGCAAGAGCATGTAACGACGGATGGCTGTTGGATGAGATGTTTTACGTTTGAACTACTTGTACGTGTTGGGTCGACGATGGTCGTGATCCTTTGCAATTATAGGAGAGTATAAGAGAAAACAAGGGAGTGAGAGGAACGAAATAAAGACTGTCGTGACACGATAGGTTTTTCATCATGAAATCTTTTCGACAATCGTGAGTTTTATTATGCGTTAAGCCTGCGTAAGAAGGGACTGGATCGAGTGTCCCTGGTTCGACAATCGTTCACGAAATTTTGTAGGTGAATTTTCAAATTATACGCATGTCGTTTAGTTTGTTCATACAGTAAGGTTTATAATAAAATTTATAATCGTAGTACAGTGATGGATTTCTCTTTTTTTTTTTTTTCTTTGAGTATGTCCCTTGTCGGAACTGGTGCCTTCTTGTAATAATATCGTTATTATGAAAAAAATTTTCATATGGGAGTATTTGTATAGTATTTTATTCGTTTATCGTTGGATTATTGTGGTATTTGTTCCTCAATATGTATATTTGTATAAAGAGTAAGAATGTAGAAGTATACTTAAAGTTTTACCATTTGAACCAGTCATATTTTCCGGTAGTTATATCTTCTGAGCTTTTACGACTAAAATAAATTACCTGCTGAAAATATTGAATTATTATTAATAGAAGCATTTGTTTAAAGTAGGATACTACTTTATCCTTACATTTCCTATTGTACTATTTTCCATGAATTTTCTTATCCGAGTAAAATTGCGACAATAATTGATCCAGGTATATTCGAGTTATTTAGGTACAGGTGTGAAGGTATTTATTTCAACCTGTGTTAAATCCCAATTAAAAGTTATTACTGGATATGGAAGGATATGAAATATATTTGCGTTCTTAAAAATAAAATTAATTTTAATAACCGTCCCCGAACATTCTCATTTTCCATACAATTTTCAATGAAATATAAAGTAACATAAATTAATAATAACGAGTGTGCGTTTGTAGATATTTGCACATGCCCGTATAATTAACCTTGAATACGAGAGCGAGAGAGGAATGTACCAGAGTCAGCAAATTGATTAATCGATCGGCTGAAACTTGAAGTAAACTGTATTTGCGCGTAAATTAATCGATTAATTAATTAGCTCGAGAGCACTTCGGGATTAATTTGCCGGAGGGAAGAGGATGACTGTGTGCGAGAGGAAAATTTTACTGTTAAACACTAAACTCTGAATTCTATTACTATGCTAGCATCGAGGATAATAACTGTAGTTAAGAATCCCTTCGCGGTTTTCTATGGTCACCATGGACATCACCTTTCCTGTTCCAGGGTCGTTCCAAGGTTACCCAAAAGTACCTGTTTTCTTCGATTTTTCTTCCGAAATTTATTTTTAAAATCCCTTGAAAATTTATTCTCGAACGTTTACTAATTTATTGCAGATATTGGTTTATGGTTGTATATTTTGTTTAATATTTCTCTTTTGTTGCTCCACGTTTAAGAAATGGTTATATAAGAATCGTATAACGAAAGGATATCGAGACGTTGATTTTTCTCTTTTATTATGCGAATATTTGTCGTGATAGTGGGGAAAACGCAATACTGTGTGCACCGGTGCAGTGGTGAAAGAGGAAGCCGCAAAGAGGCAGGAAAATTAGTGAGGAGAGATCGACTTTTCGAAACTGCGAATCTTGGAGCCGGAAACTGGCACGGAAGTCGTTGGTTACGTGAAAGGATGAAGGTAATAAAACAGCAAGAATAATCGACTGGCCGTATCGAATAAATCTGAAATATTCTTCAACCTTTTTCGTGGGACAATAATAAGTGCTTTTCACTTGGATGTTGAACAAAATTATAAATATTCGTCTCTGTGTCGTTCCGAATGAACGCGAAGATGTACCTGAATCTCTTGTTTCAATTTTTTCCATAGTTTGTGTCAGGTTTTTATTAATTTCTGTTAATAAAAATTTAACGTCCGCTGAAATTGTGTGGTAGAAGTTCGAAATTGAAGCGTTTATGTGCTTTATCGGTGACGATAGAGACCAATTGCGATATTCAGATGGTACCTGCTTAATTAACCCTTTGCACTTGAAGATTTTCTCATTGTAGGAAATTGTAGTACTGCAGGAAACTGCTATATGATCTGTCATAAAATCGGTGACATTCTTTATAATAAAATGAAAAGAAATCATTATTAGATTGTGCATTAGTATATGTAATTATTTTATTTCAAATGTGTTTGTTATTTTAAACAAACGCACTAAGAGTAAGTGGTGATGTTAGTAGAATTAAAAATATTTAATAACAGGGCAATAGAAGAGAAAAATAATTTCAAAATTTCATATATTATGCTGTTGTATTATTACAAATATGGATAGGATCAAGGTTAGGTAAATACAAGGTTAGTTTTATTTTTCCTGTTGCTTTTTGAGAGTGCAGTTTAAATAGTATGTTAATATATTTATGAGTTGTAATTTTTTAATCTTCAGCCCTAGTTCAATATTGTTTAGTGACAAGTGGTGGTTGTGATGGGGAGAGCAAGGTTGGTAATATTTGTAAAACCAAATCCCTTTCTTCTAACCAAAAGAAAAGGCCAGAGATTAAAAATAAATTTTATATATATACCGTATTATTATATTACTATATGTAATACATTATATAATATATTACATTATTTCTAATTAAAACTTAACTATCGATCTCCACAATTTCTCCATTGGCGACTGGCAGTAAGATTCGCGTCTCCATTGCAAAGGGGTGAAAAAGGGGTTGAAAAAGAAAAATCCATTTTCCTACTCACGTCCATGCTCTCGCCTTCTCGTACCTCTTTTAAGAGAAATAGATGGTCTTGCGCCATCTCTAAACATCCTCCAAACCCTCGTTCCCATCGCTACCCCGCGTTTATTAAAATTTGCTCGTTTAACGAGCCTCCTCCTCGCACCCTTCGTCGTCGTTCGCTGCTCGAACGTTGCATCCTCGGCGAATGATTAATTAACGGCAATTTATCGGGTAGCAGTCGTCGATATCTGAATGGCCACTCGCCAAGAACCCATCAGCCGCAAACTAAACAGCGCGAAGAACAATGGGGGTCGCGCTTCCATCCCCGCCCCCGTAGGCCGAAGAAAGATCGATTAATAATGCATTAAACAAGCGGGCTAATGTTTATTAATTCCAAACAGCATCTCGATATCTCTGCTGTCAATATTTATTTTCGCTCCTCGATAATTAAGGGACAACGACGGCTAAGCGTTCGACTGTGTGCGACAACGGCTTTCATTCATAACTCGGGACAAGGTCTCGCGTGTCAAAGCCCCTATCGATCGAGATAATCGAGAGATCGACTTGTCGCTACCTGTTCCCCGGTAATTTCGTTGTCTTCGTGATTACGTTTCTCGTTTTCAGCGAAAGCGAATAGCGTTCGATCGACGAGGTTGGCACGTGGATTTTTTCGGGTGAATCGGGTCAGTTTAATCGATCAAAAAAATAAATTTCGCGGGTCTTTGTGCAATCATTTTTCGACCGATTAATTATTCCATTTATGGGAATTTCCTGGCTTGTAATAGAATTCGATGGAATTCAGTCATTATTCCAATCCTTTTGTCGTGGTCTTTCCATTCTTTTCTTTCTTTTTTTTTTTTTCTTTTTGAATGAGATTTATAGGTGGAAAATATTTTTTAATTAAAAGAGAGAGAATGAAAAAGAGATACTACTCTGCGATATTTGAATTAGATTTTTAGTTAAAATTTCGTTTTTCATCGAAGAAGAATTTTGTTTATTTTGTTAAAAATAACGTGTACGCTGTTATTTTTATTGTTAAATATTTTTTTGACGAAGGTGTTGTTCATTCTTCATAGTTGTAAATTAATTTACTCGTTTTGCGGATTATTTTATTCGTTTTATTCGGTGGGTCAAAGGAATGGAAATCGCGGTCGATCCATGATCGAGAGGGTCTTCGCCATAGACCCGTATTTTAGATCGGCGTTTGCCAACTTTTCTCTCATATAGCAGACTCTTAAAATAAGTTTTCATATCCCACGAAACCCCTTAGTTATAAAAACACGTGTAGGCAAGGAAAATTTTATGGCTTAAGGTCGAAACTATAACAGTGAATTTTAAAGAGCCATGGAGATTGCATCAATATTGGACGTGACCAGATGAAACTTCTCGCTGTATTTAAAGCTGCTCCACAGTTTGTGGTCTTTCTTGATTTCCTGTCAGGCAAATTTTCCAAAGAAAACTCGTTCATTTCGTCGTCAATATGAAAATTAGGATGATAGTTGTTATATGAAATTTTTTAGTCAGTATTGTGATATTAGATAATTGAATGTTATTCAATTTAGTGTTTAAGTGTCTTTTCTTTATAGAAAAGTATGAAAAATAGAAATATTTTATTTTTTTTTATTTTTTTATCGATTATAAATTTCTTCAATTTCTGTCTTAAATTTTAATACAATTTTTTGTTTCAGATATACGCAATAAATCTTCAATTTTCTGTTGTGATAATAAGGTTTTCCAATTTTCCTTTTCGCACTTCAATATTTAATTTTTTTGAATTCTAAGTTTTCCTGTCTTTTTATTTTTATGCTATGAATTTTGTAATTTTATTGTTCAATCTTGCAAATAGTTGTCACTGAATTTTGCCAATTTTTGTTAGATTTTTTAGAATCAATTTCAGTTTTGCTTCTGGAATTTCGCAGATTTCGCCATTAAATTTTCTATCTGAATCTGAATATTTTCCAATGATTTCTCTCGACCTTTGACTGGAATTTATCTTCTTAAATTTCAAAGCTTTCCGATTCCCTGTCTTCTCGCCTTTTTCCTTTTAATCCGAAAGCCTCGCATCTTGTCCCTTCTAATCCAGAATCTCTTGAAATTCGACTTTTCGCTCTCTGATTTGCCAAAGCCTCGATTTTCCTTCGTATTTCTCAAAAAATCGCGTGAATTGTTTGAAGATAATATTGATCTAACAAAAACTTCGATATTGGCGTGAAATTCACCTGAAATTGCCAAAAATTCGCATAAACTGTCTTATCGCTTTTCAATTTCCAACAGCTTCGATTTTTCCTCGCGGCACTCAAGAAAATCACGCGAATTTTTCGCAAACAATATCATCCTGCCGCCAATTTCGATATTCGCGAAAAATTACTGTAAAATTTTCGCTAAAATTGCCTAAAATTCGTATGAACAGTCTATGGCTTTTCAATTTCCAACAGCTTCGATTTTTCCTCACGGCCCTGAAGCAAATCGTGCGAATTTTTCGCAAACAATATCATCCTGTCGCGAAGTTCGATATTCGCGTAAAATTCGTGCAAAATTTGCGCGAAATTTATGGAAAATTCGCAAATATGTTGGCGAAACGTCGCGAGGGTTCGATGAGATCGCACGGTCGTTTGGAGTTTGGAAAATGTCGAGTGTCGTCTGGCACGATTATTTTCCTTCGACGCGCCAAATAATCGGTGCAACGTTTTCTCCGGTTACCGCGAGACGTATATAAAGCTTTCGGAAAAAGCCGTTTACCGTGCGTCCGCGTGATTTAAGACCGGTTTAAAAACTGCGAGCATTTTTCCGGACGGCGTGCATCGCTTTTGTTCGACAGCTAAAAGAGCGTGCCGCTCGGCTCTTTTCCGCTTTCTGCAGCTGAATTCCCGTCACGGATTCTTCAACTTTCCTCGTCACCTGTATCAGCAATTATGATCGTGAAATGGGAAAGCGTGAGATTTAATGTTGCAGATATTCGTCAGATATGGAAATAATAATAATAATGATAAGAAGACGAGGAAGAATCCGTCTTAAAATGTTGGTCATGCATTTTAAGGCGAAGTATATAAATTATAAATTACAAAAGTTAGCATGCGAAAATTATAAATTATAAACGTTGTACGTGTACGTTATATATAAGTATACAGTACGAAATAAATAGTAGAAATTGTACAAATATTAGATAATGGTATTAGAAATTCAATCGCTAATGGGTTCTGTAAGTCGATAATACTTTAAATAAATTAGTTCAATTAAATGAAATTTGAAAAATAAAATAGGTTATTTTTAATGTAGTTACGGATTTTATTTTTGCGAAAGGTACGATATTTGAAAGAAATTGGAATTACTATTGTCGGAATGCATGTGGATTAATTTTACTTCCACACATTGCCAGATGATGAGATCACAAGATGTATGAATCACTCATTTGTCGTATAATAGACATACATTCGAGCTGATTAAACAATTAAGACATGAAAGGGTTAACGAACTCAATAAAGTTCAAGCAGACACAGTCGTGGGTTTTCTTCTTTCTTTTTATTGTTCCATCCTTCGAACATCACAATCTCAAATGAAAATACATGTAAGACTAATTGAACCTTCGTTTAAATGCTCGATAATCGTTCGATTATTTTCACAATTCGATTGCACATATATTCACAGAAAACAACAACGGCATAATAAAATATATCGAGAAATACAAAACTACGAAAAAGCACTCGATGCTATATAAAAAAATCTTATATGTAATACATAACAAACACCTAACGTTGCAGTATTAACAAAAATAAAAAATAATAGTACATTCGTATCCATCTTGTATCTTGAATATTATTCTGAAACTGAGAATTCGAAGAAGACGAATCTCTTCGTTATTTCACGATCATCTTACAGCTGTGCAAAAATTATGCACGACGATACAGTTTTATAGTAATATAAAATTCGATGAAGGTATTGTGTCAGCCAAAAAATAATGTCAGTATCTTTAGTATAAAATAGAAATCATTTTGTTGGACAAAATAGAAAGAAATATTTCAAATAATACATTTATAATAATTAATTTCCATTAGGCATATACCAAATTAGTAATATTTAATTTTGCATTAAGAAAATGGCACCAGTTACTGTAAAAATCTGATGATATTCTTTGGCCATTTTTATCTGTAATAATTAATTCCAATTAGGCATATTCCAAATTAGTAATATTTAATTTCGCACTAATAAAATGGCACCATCTACTACAAAAATCCATCATTACTCATTGACCAGTTCGATTCGTTATAATTAATTCCAATTAGGCACATACTAAATTAGTAATATTTAATTTCGCACTAAAAAAATGGCACCATCTATGCAGAAATCCGACAATACTTATTGATCACTTCGATTCGTTTTAATTAATTCCAATTAGACATATTGCAAATTAGTAATATTTAATTTCATATTAACAAAATGACACCATCTACTGCAAAAATCCAATGCTACTCATTGACCATTCTGATCCATAATAATCAATTCCAATTAAGCATATTCCAAATTAGTAACATTTAATTTCGCACTAACAAAATGGCACTATCTGTGCAAAAGTCCGACACTATATCTTGGCCAATTTAATAATAATCTCTTCACGCGATAATATAAATATCGCTACTACGAAAAATTGGTTACACAAGTACATGTCGTTCGATGTACATATATCTAGTACTTCATAATCGAAAATCTGTTAGGCGTTTTCCGGCGATACTCGAAGATTCGCATCACGGTGGAATGATAGGGACTACAAAGGTTCTATCTGCTCACTTTTTCGCAGTTTTCGGCCGACACCGCTTTTCTGAAATATTCACGCGAATTTCCGCCGCTGATGGCCAGCGAAACGCGAAATTGTCGTTGCTTAAACAACGTCGCGAATCGTTTAACGCGTTCGCTATTAACTGCGGTCGCGGCAAAAGTAATTTTCGCGACAATAAAAATAGACAGTTTCGAATTTTTCTCCTATATATTTTTTTCCCCTCTTTTTTCCTCTTTTAACCTTTTTTTGGCAGGAAAATGAAACCACTCGACCGTGATCCGGCATTTGAGGTAAATTATGGTAACTCAAGAGTTTTATTTATTTTTCCTTTTCGCACTTTCGATTATGGTACATGTTATAAATACTCTTACCTAAAAACTGAGGTATATGTCTGGACGCGGGTATAATTAGGATTAAAAAAGTTAATTTTTGCAGATATTACAGAGATTGAAAAACTATTAAATATAGTAGGATGATTTATATCGTACAATATAAAACCGTGGTGAAAATGTGTAATAATATACACGGAGAAAAGTTATACAAGGAGAGCTATTATTAAAATCCTTATCCTAAATATCTCAAGTATTAAACACCATGAAAAAGTGGCTTAAAATTATTTTAGAAAAATGTATTATTATCGAGAGGTATATAAATTTATTTCTTGCTCGTGTCAAATACGAGTCATATTTATTCAACATTTAAAAACAGAGGTAAGGAAATACCTGCGATATTATCCTATGAAAATGATCCGTATCTTTCACAATTCAAAATTTCTCGGATTCCAAAAATTTCAAGCTCTATCTCCGGACTAACTGGCCATTTTCGAAATGGAAAATGTCTGACTATGACACTCTCGTGACTTCGATCTTGCAATCCGATCTTAATCGTTTGAGTCCCAGAGGCTTTTGGAAGAACGCGGTCGAAAAACCCCGAACAACGCGATCACGCTTGCCTTAATCGAATGCGAAGAAGTCCAAACGATGCGATAGCGCTTCTTTAATTTTATGTCGAAAAATCCCAATCGTCGCGATAGCGCTTGTTGGTGCTATGTGATGTACGTGTTTCAGCAAAGTTGAGCGCTCCTCTTCGATTGAAGAGCGCGATCGCGCTGCTTGGAACTCAAACGGTTAAGTCACGTATCGGCACACAAAGAACTCTAATTGCATTCTAACATCTACCCTACGCGCTTAGAACGCGATAAAATTCTTCCTGCAATCATTGTCATGCACCTACTGCGTCACTATATCGTACGAACGAGGTGGGAATGAAAAATTCTACGAGGAAACAGCGAAGAGCAGCACTAAGTGGAAGACGAGGTAGCAAAAGGAGAGACAAAGTATTAAATAGTAGAAAAAGAGTATTCGTTCGAGGTAGGAGAAAATTGTTGACTGAGAACGAGGCACATAGAAAGTGATAAGTGGGGAATTTGATGAGAGAAAATTTGTTCAAGGTGCACTGCTAACCGGGAAGCTGGACGTAAGGGTGCTGTTGCTGACGCTC